TTGAACAGATTCTTCCCCTAAGTTTTCTAAAACTCCCATAGCTTAGTTGCTGTCTGTTTGCCCAGGAGGAAGGAGGAAGCTTCTCTGCAGTAAGTGGTGCTTTCTACGGGAGCCTCTGTGACAGCCAATCTTTCTCAGTCCCCTCCGACCCCCAACCTGGCCCATGATCCTCACCCTTTATTTCTGTGGATGATAATGGAAATGGCTACTATTATGAACAACTAAATCCTTCTTTAGGAGAATCTTCTAGGGCCTTTAATAAGAGGGAAGACTTTGTTAGGTATGAAAGGCAGGAACCTCTCTTTTTCATTTCTGAGAACAGTAATTAGTACCAAGTAGCCTCTCCGTAAACTTTCAAAGCCCACTCAAGAATGCCTTGTGAAAGAATTAGCCATTGTAAAACCGGGATGATTTCAAGACCCGAGAAACAATGGGGAACATTCCTATCAAATCTGCAACACTGGGTTGCTCTTTTCCAGACTATTTGAAGACTACAGCTGTCTTTGCAGAATAAGATTATTTCTTTGGTCTTAGTTAGGCTCTTTTCAATAAGGGGTTCACTGCCTGCCACCCCAGGCAACTGAATTAACATGAAAGAAGTCGCAAACCCTCAAGTTAATTTCCAAGAGTTTTCCTGGAGGCTGTCTGTAACTTGTAGGTAGGGCTGGCTCTTGCCAGCGCCCTAGACGCAATTGTACACAGCTGTTCTCAATTTTGTATTCGGCGAGGGTACACTGGTAGCCTGAATTTGGCAATGGGTATATTTATTCCAAGGAAATCTGCAAACACTACAAATCAGGGCTTTTGTTGTCTAGAGAGCTGGTCGGTAAACAGTTCTCAGCACTGCACTGTTTATATGCAAGGTAAGTGATGCTAGGCATGGCTCGCAGAATTTAACCCTTAGCCAGTTTGTAGTAGAAGAATCTTTGCATTTACATCCTTTCTCTTTTTCTTGCCCAGACCTTACCTTTCATCAGTTCCTCTGCTCTGTTTAAAAAATGATAATCTTCGAAACTCCTGTATGAAATAAATCTTTTAGAAAATCTGTCTTATGGAAACAATCGGGACAATTACTCCTAGGACTTTGAGCTCAGCTGAGTGAGGTGCTGTCCCAGTTACTACGCCAGGAGTCCACAATGACTGCACCTGCTTCTGCTTTACAAAGGCAGGGTCGAGTTCTGTCTCCCCAGATTTCCAGTTTTGACAGAGAAAAGCATCACATCATCAAATCATTATATCATACAGAACTGGAGCACTACCCAGCTCAGTGAGCACTGCGTTTTCAAATGAGAATAAGACTGGCCTGCAGGGCACTTTGTAAACCAAATATACTCATTCTGTCAGTCTATTTCCTGTTGCTATCCTAAGCACTGGAAGGAATACAAGAGCAGAGAAAATGGTCATTTCTTACAGAAAGCTTTGAATCTTCTTGTGAATAACTGGATTAATAAAACATATGAAGCAGCTAGGAAAGAATTCAGTACTAAATTGTTAAAAAAAAAAAAAAAAAAACACCTTGGTCAACGTACCAAAGAGATGAATGGATCAGGAAAGATGCTATGTTGAAATTTCTATTGGAATTTGTTTTTGAGCAGTGAGTAGGACTTGGGTGAGCAGAAAGATGGAACAAGAGTAGTTTACATGAAACCAACAGCACAGTCAAGGACTTGGCCTTGGAAAAGTCAAGTATGACTCCTGGGGAATTACTGGGAGATCTGATTAGATGATCCTGGGAGGTCCTCAAAAGGTAAACAGAGAATTTATTAAATGCAGTAAGCAGCAAGAAGCTACCATAGGTTGAGTGTCCGTAATCTGAAAATCTGAAATCTAAAATAGTCCAAAATCTGAAACATTTTGAGCACTGATATAATGCCGTGAGTGGAAAATTCCACACTTGACCTTACGTGACAGTCACAGTCAAATGCAGGCATGCAAAAAACACTGGATAAAATTGCCTTCAGGCTATGTGTATAAGGCGTGTAGGAAACATACATAACTTCTACCTTTAGCTTTGGGTCTCCTCCCTGAGATATGTCTTTGGTTATATTCAAAAATTCTAAAATCTTTTGAAAGACTCTGGTCCTATTTTGGATAAGGAATACTCAGCTTGTATTGGACTTCTGAGTATCAGAATGATGATATTAAAATAGTCAGATCATGTCCAAGAAATTGTGTGGGTAAAGAGTCTTGGCAAAGGAACAAATAGAAGTAACTTAGGTGAGCCTTTCAGAAGACACTTAGAGATTTCAACAGGGAACAGGGCAAAGCCAGAACTGGGTGAAAAGATTCTGTCTTATCATTGGTAGTATAGTACAGATAACTCAACGTTTTCCTTTTTTTAAAGATTTATTTATTTAGTTGAAAGGCAGAGTTACAGAGAGGGAGAGAGAGAGGGAGGGAGGGAGAGAGGGAGGGAGGGAGAGAGAGAGAGAGAGAGAGAGAGAGAGAGGGAGAGAGAATGTCTCCCAACCACTGGTTCACTTCCGAAATGGCCACAATGACCAGAGCTGAATCAATCTGAAGCTAGGAGCCTGGAGCTTCTTCTGGGTGTCCCATCAATTCACCTCAAACACAAATGTATTTTTTATGTAATTATTCAGTATTTCCCCCAAATAAAATTCTGGTTTAGAAGCCATGCTGGTCTAAGATAACTCTACAATGATGAGTCTCATCATTTGATTATAGGTATCTAGATGCCTGCATGGAGAAGCAGTATGAAGTCCTGCAAGAGTCCATGGGAGGGAGTCCCGAGATCCTCAGAGATGAGTGCCATGGTCATCTGGTCTTGGAGGAAAAGTGGCAGCTCATGCACCATGTGTTGACCAGAATTGCCACAGATATTAGCAAAGTAGTATGGGATTTGGTATGCCAGTGTGCAAACCTGTCTTCTACACTCCGAATTCTCTCTACTAATCTCACTTTGGAGACTGAGTATTTCCTAAGCTTGCTTGATCATAAGAACTATTGAAATGACTTGTTTAAAGATTTATTTATTTATTTTAAAGTCAGAGTTACACAGAGAGAGGAGAGGCACAGAGAGAGGTCTTCCATTTGCTGGTTCACCCCCCAGATGGCCCCAATGGCCAGAGCTGCACCGATCCCAAGCCAGGAGCCAGAAGCTTCTTCCAGGTCTCCCATGTGGGTGCAGGGGCCTAAGGACTTGGGCCATCTTCCACTGCCTTCCCAGGCCACAGTAGAGAGCTGGATCGGAAGAGGAGCAGCTGGGACTCGAACCAGCGCCCATATGGGATGCTGGTACTTCAGGCCAGGGGGTTAACCCACTGAGCCACAGCGCTGGCCCCTTCCCAGGTTTCTTATCTGGAGGTTCAGGAAGCCAAGCCTGAAAGGCCAGGACTTTTAAGATCTGAAAACTAGGGCCGGCGCTGTGGCTCCTGGCTTCAGATTGGCGCAGCTCCGGCCATTGTGGCTATCTGGGGAGTGAACCAGTGGATGGAAGACCTCTCTCTCTGTCTCTATCTCTCTCTGTAACTTTGTCTTTCATATAAATAATCTTTTTTTTTTTTTTTAAAAAAGATCTGAAAACTTTGAGAATACATGAGTTACTATTGAATTCAGAAAGCCTCCGTGAGGGACAAACATTAACTTATTGGTCAGTAGTAATTCAAGACATAATCTTCCAACTAGAGACCTGGGCATTCACTGGCAAGGAACAAACAGAAGGTAATTGATTGGTAATCAGAGAAGTGTGGTAGCTTACTTGTCTTATCTGGCTCAGCCCAACTTGCTGACTTCCATCTCATTCTTTCATTCTTCTCCCTCTGCACTACCTACACTGGTCTGCCTGTGGTTGCTCTAATAGGTGCATGCTCCCTCCCCAAAGCCTTTGCTCTTGCAGTTCCTCCGCATCTGATTATTCCTGGAGACCATAGGGCTACCCTCCCTACTGTTTCCCTAAGAGGCAAAGCTATGAGATGGAAAAGCCAAATGGTGTGCAAGGAGTTCAAAGAAATGCCCAGTTTTCAGCGTGTGAAAAAGACTCTACTCATTGCCTCTCCCACAACCAGATACTCTGGAATGCTGCAAAAGGGAGGGTCTCTCCCCCTGTACTAAGCAAAGAGTTATACTAGTATTACATAGCATTTGCAGTGAAACTGGGTTTAACAATGAATGGTTTTCCTAGAAAATAAAGCAAAGGATAAGTATAGAAACAGACAAGAAGAGAGCCATGGGTTGCGTAATAATTAATCTGACTAAAAAGCATTATTTAAAACCACTAAATCACATTAAACCATTAAATTTATCTTTTTCCAATTCCTACAGGGTACTCATAAGGATAATGACCCAACTGTATCTTTGAAATAGCATTAGGATTTGGGAAGCATCTTAATAAACACTAACTGAAAGCCACTCTGAAGAAAACATCATTAATCATGTCATCTGGTGAGAGATACTGTCAGGGTTACATTTAGAAATTTATACTCATACCAAATTCCTGTAAACAACCCTGTGTGCCATAGGAATTAGGAAAATGAAACCTTCTTTGTTTACTATAAATCTGAAAAATATAATCCTTGAGCCAGATTTCTTGAAATTGAACTCACCCAGACATTGGGAAACTTTCCAGTAAGCTTTACTTTGCACAGTGCTTCAAATCTCTCCGGAAAGCACTATTTTCATTGTATCAGTCATGTATTGAAAACCCCACTGAAAAAACTACAAGGATTCCTTAACTGCTTTTTAAGGAAATGAAAAATTTTTAGGTTGGTATTTAAGATACTGACTTAGTTATTACTTGGTTTACCCATCATTAGATAAGGTTTGTATCAATTTTAGAAAAATCAGCAAAAGCATAATAACTAGTACTCCACTAGTCTATTTAGTCATTCCACCTTCAAATGATTGATTGGCTCCATGAGCCACACCTCTAATTTCTTTGTTTTTTTCTTTTTAACTTTTATTTAATGAATATAAACTTCCAAAGTACAGCTTATGGATTACAACTTCCCTCCCACCCACAACCCTCCCCTTTCCCGCTCCCTCTCCCCTTCCATTCACATCAAGATTCATTTTCGATTCTCTTTATATACAGAAGATCAGTTTAGCATATATTAAGTAAAGCTTTCAACAGTTTGCACCCACACAGAAACACAAAGTGAAAAAATACTGTTTGAGTACTAGTTATAGCATTAAATCACAACGTACAGCACATTAAGGACAGAGATCCTACATGAGGAGTAAGTGCACAGTGACTCCTGTTGTTGACTTAACCATTTGACACTCTTGTTTATGGCATCAGTAATCACCCTAGGCTCTTGTCATGAGTTGCCAAGGCTATGGAAGCCTTTTGAGTTCACCGACTCTGATCATATTTAGACAAGGTCGTAGTCAAAGTGGAAGTTCTCTCCTCCCTTCAGAGAAAGGTACCTCCTTCTTTGATGGCCTGTTCTTTCCACTGGGATCTCACTCACGGAGATCTTTCATTTAGGTGGTTGTTTTTTTTTGTTTGTTTGGTTGTTTTTTTGTTTGTTTGTTTTTGCCAGAGTGTCTTGGCTTTCCATGCCTAAAATACTCTCATGGACTTTTCAGCCGGATCCGCATGCCTTAAGGGCTGATTCTGAGGCCAGAGTGCTGTTTAGGACATCTGCCATTCTATGGGTCTGCTGTGTATCTCACTTCCCATGTTGGATCATTCTCTCCCTTTTTGATTCTATCAGCTAGTATTTGCAGACACTAGTCTTGTTTATGTGACCCCTTTGGCTCTTAGTCCTATCATTATGATCAATTGTGAACTGAAATTGATCACTGGGACTAGTGAGATGGCATTGGTACATGCCACCTTGATGGGATTGAATTGGAATCCCCTGGTATGTTTCTAACTCTACCGTTTGGGGCAAGTCAGCTTGAGCATGTCCTGAATTGCACATCTCTTCCCTCTCTTATTCCCACTCATATTTAACAGCAATCACTTTTCAGTTAAATTTCAACACCTAAGAATAACTGTGTATTGATTACAGTATTCAACCAAAAGTATTAAGTAGAACAAACAAAAAAAATACTAAGAGGGATAACATATTAAGCTGCTCATCAACAGTCAGGGCAAGGGCTGATCAAGTCACCATTTCTCATAGTGTTCATTTCACTTTAACAGGTTTCCTTTTTGGTGCTCAGTTAGTTGTCACCGATCAGGGAGAACATATGATATTTGTCCCTTTGGGACTGGCTTATTTCACTCAGCATAATGTTTTCCAAATTCCTAACAGGGATCACTTTTCAGTTAAAATTTAAACACCTAAGAATAATTGTCACACCTCTAATTTCTTTAGTGAATGGTTATCCAGCCACACCCTTGAACTTCCACCCTGAACTTGCTTTCCCAACAAAGAATTTCCTAATTTTAGCACCCTTTGCAATCTGGAGAGACTGAAGCTTCCCAATTCATCAAATATTGGTTCCTATTGCTTTACTGTTCCTTCTACAACTTTCTATTTTCCTTTCTCATTTTACCATCAGCAGCAAAGAGGAATCAGACTATGTCTTCAACAGTTAACTGGAAAATCTCAAGTAAATATCCAAGTTCATCACTTCCAAAGTTCTGCTTTCTACCCAATTCAACCATATTTTCTGCCACTTTACAACAAAGATAGCCTCTTACTCAGTCTGCAGTAACATATTCCTCATTTCCTTATGAAACCTCCACCAGAACCCCGTTTGACATTCCTATATCTACCAGTAATCTATATGTAGTCTCTAAAATGCCTTAAGCTCTGATCCCTAACTACAATCTCCTTTAACAACTGCATTTCTGCAATGTATTAAAAAAAAAATCTAACCTTTTCCCATCATACACCTCAGCATTTTTCCAGCTTCTACTCATGACCCAATTCCATAGCCACTTCTACATTTTTTGGTATTTGTTCCAGCAGCATTCCATTTCTTTTTTTAGACAAGTTTTTAAACTTTAAAAAAAATTTGTTTGAAAGACAGAGAGAGACAGACAGACAGATAAAAGAGATCTTCCATTGACTACTTCACTTTCCAAATGCCTGCAACAACCAGGGATGGGCCAGGCTAAAGCCAGGAGCTGAGAACTTGGTCCCAGTCTTCCATGTGAGTGGCAGTACCATCATACATGAGCCATCACTCATGGCCTCCCAGGGTGCACATTAGCAGAGAACTGGAATCCCAAGTGGAACTGGGACTCGAACCCAAGCTCTCTGATTGGGATGCAAGTGTCCCAAGTGCCATTTTCATCACTGTACCAAATGCCTACCCTGATACCTCACTTTTTTAATATGGAATCTGCATTACTTTCTTAGGGATGCAGTAATAATTACTATGAACCAGAGGGCTTAAAGTAACAGAGGTTTATTTCCTAATACAGTTGGGGAGGCCAAAAGACTAGAATCAAGGGCTCAGCACAGGTGGTTTCCTCTCAGGTTCTAAGGGAGAATCAGTTCTGCTCTCTTTTCTTAGCCTCTTGTGGCTGCTGGAGATGCTTGGTGTTGCTTAAATTAAAGATCCATCATCCCCGGCACCGTGGCTCAATAGGCTAATCCTCTGTCTTGTGGCGCCGGCACACCGGGTTCTAGTCCCGGTCGGGATGCCGGATTCTGTCCCAGTTGCCCCGCTTCCAGGCCAGCTCTCTGCTGTGGCCAGGAAGTGCAGTGGAGGATGGCCCAAGTCCTTGGACCCTGCACCCACATGGGAGACCAGGATAAGTACCTGGCTCCTGGCTTCAGATCAGCGCAATGCACTGGCCACAGCGTGCCTGCTGCGGCGGCCATTGGAGGGTGAACCAACAGCAAAAGGAAGACCTTTCTCTCTCTCTCTCTCTCTCACTGTCCACTCTGCCTGTCCAAAAAAAAAAAAAATCCATCATCCCAATCCCTATCAGCTTCTCCTTTGTGTCTCTGTCTCTAAAAATTTCCTCTGCCTCTCACTTGTAAGGACACATGTTATTGTACTTAAGGCACATCCTAAATCCAGCATGATCTCTTCTAAATTCATTACAAGGACATCTTATCCAAATAAGTCTCACAGGTTCTGGGGGATATGATTTGGATATATCTTTTTTTTTTTTTTTTTTTTTTTTTTGACAGGCAGAGTGGACAGTGAGAGAGACAGACAGAGAGAAAGGTCTTCCTTTGCCGTTGGTTCACCCTCCAATGGCCGCCGCGGTCGGCGCACTGCGGCCGGCGCACCGCGCTGATCCGATGGCAGGAGCCAGGTACTTCTCCTGGTCTCCCATGGGGTGCAGGGCCCAAGGACTTGGGCCATCCTCCACTGCACTCCCTGGCCACAGCAGAGAGCTGGCCTGGAAGAGGGGCAACTGGGACAGAATCCGGCGCCCTGACCGGGACTAGAACCTGGTGGGCTGGCGCCGCAAGGCGGAGGATTAGCCCAGTGAGCCGTGGCGTCGGCCTGGATATATCTTTTTAGGGACCACAATTCAACCATGTGAAACCTGCCATCTAATGCCCCCAGATTCCTATCTATCTACATGTGACAAAACACATTCACCACCTCCCAACATCTCCAAAAGTCTCAGATATTGCAACTGTTCCAAGTCCAAAATCTCATAGAAATATCAGCCCAAAAGTCCCAAATCTCATCACCTAAATCATCAGTATGGGTGAGACTAAGGTATAAACCCTCCTTGGTCAGAATTCTCTGTTTCTGGACTTGCAAAAACAGAAAACATGTTGTCTACTTCCAAAATAAAATTGTGGGACAGGTATTGTTCTATTTGAAAAGGGAGACATTGGAAAGAATAAAGCAGTTACTGGTCTCGACTTTGATATCTATTGGGACAAATTTAATTAGGTTTCCAGACCTGCGAATAATCCTCTGAGGCTTGATGCTTGTGATATGCAAAATGTTTGTATATGTCCAAACTCATGTGTTGAAATCCAGTGCTCCATTGTGATGGTGTTAGCAGGTGAGGTCATGAGAGTAGAGCCCTCATCAATGGGATTAGTCTCTTTGCAAATGAGCTTCTCAAGCACCCCCTCATCCCTGGCACTGGAGGACACGGTGAGAAGAGTGCCGTCCATGAGCCAGGGAGTAGGCCCTCACCAGTCTGGGATCTGCCAGCATGTTGATCTTGGACTTCCCATTCTCCAGAGTGTGATAAATAAAATTTCTGGTGTTTGTAAACCGGCCAACTATAGCAATTTGTATACAGTTCTGAATGGACTAAGATAATGCTCTACCTGCTGGGACCACAGGGCCAGCCTACTGGCTTACAGCGATGGCTGCATTAATCTTGGGGCCCTTGATGGCAGTTCAGTCTGCTTCAGACTGCCCTCAGTGCCCTGCCAGTCTCGGTACCACTCATGGAAGCTCTGCTTTCGGAGTCATTCTTCCTTCCTCTCAAACAGCAGCACATACTTGTAGCTGAGTAGATCTATCAGCCCATTCCTGCCTGTAGAACCCCGGGAGTCATGTCTCAATTTTATCTTTGATTTGCTCTGAGTTTTATATCCTACTTAAGAAGGCCTTCTCCTCTGCTGGAGTATAAACATTATTCCACTTTTCCAGTATTTTACAATTCTGTTTTTCATAGCCATTCTCTGTGATTTTTTTTTCATTATTTAAGGATGAGATGAAATTTTGTTTTCCCCATCAAAAGCCAGTTCTCCAGCAACATTGATTAATCAGTGCATTATTTATCTATGATATACTTTTTAACATCTATCTGTATATCTGATTTAATGCCAGTTTACAGAATTCAATCTCTCTTTGTGTATACATACAAACACGCATAACATACTCACACACACTTTCATATACAGTTGTCCCATGCTATCAGTAGGGGATTGGTTTTAGGCTCCCCCTGCAAATACAAAAAGCCACAGATGTTCAAATCCCTTATATAAAAAGGTGTAATATTTGTATATAACCAACATCCACTAGTACTTTTAAGTTATTTCTGAAATATTTACAAATACTCATCCAATATGAATGCTATGTAAATGTTTGTTAGACTGTATTGTTCAGGGAATCAAGACAAGAGAAGGTCTATTCATTATGGCAAGCTTTTTTCTGAACATTTCAAAAAATTAATTCATTTGGGAGAGAGAGAGAGAGAAAGAGAGAGAGAGAGAAGGACCTACAGAGCTCCCATCTTCTGGTTGACTCCCCCAAATGCATGCCAGAAACGCAATCCAGGTCTTTCTCATGAGTAGAAGGAACTCAATTACTTGAGCTCTCACTACTGTCTCCTCAGGTCTGCATTAGCAGTTAGTTGGAGTTAGAAATGGAGCAGGAAATCAAACCAGCTTTTAGCCACTAAGTAAAAATACCCACCCTTTTCCTGGTTGAATCTGCAGATGAGGATGGTTAACTAATATATATCTCTCTATATATCTATATATGAATTAGATGTAATTTATGTATATATATATATATATACACACACAAATACATATAAAAAATTTCCCCCTCCAGTCTCTAAGTGTTGTGTGAACTCCCAGTCAATACAACAGGGTACACCATAGTTTCGACTAGGGAGCCACTACTCAGTCACTCTGATGTAAACACATTCTGCACATGCCTGATTTACTATTGGATGGTCTCTCTTGTTTGGGTTCTGGAGAGAATTTTGTCCAAATGACTGATTAAGTATGAGGAAATAATGATGGTGGAAATGCTTCTTATAAACAAGTACTACTCTAAGGGATCGTAGAGGCTTTGAGAAGGCTTTTGTGATTTTCAGGATATAATTGAGGAATCAGAAAAGTTAAGATCATCAAGAAGTTAGACACTGATAAATGAAAACTGACACTAAGAAGCCATCCTAAGCATCAGTACAATCTGGATTGCCCAGCAATTGTTTAAGGAAAATTATAAACAGAGCTACTGCAGAAGGCTCATGCTCACTTCAGAGAATCGGAGTAGACAGCAGGAGTGGTTGCCAAGGCATGATATCAGGAAAGCATCTCCACGGGGACTTGTGCTAGTGATTCACCTATGGAGTTGATTCAGTCATGTGCCTCTTTCCAGTAACACAGTCCCTTCGTTAAATAGAGTAGGTGTATACTAAATTCCTGTAAGTTTGCATTGGTCTCTTTCAGGAATCGGAATTCTGCAATATTAATTTATGCATCTATTCCTGCATCAATACCACATTTTTAACTACTATAGCTTTATGATGTTTTAATATATTGGAATGAAAAAACATATTCGAAAAGATCTTGAATTTTGTACACTTAAATGCTTCCAGATGAACTTCAAGAAAAGCTTGTCAAGTTATCTTTCCAAAAAAATTCCTGTAGGGATTTTGATTGGGTTTATAGTAGATGATTTGAGAACACCACTGTTCTCACAAAATTGTTCTTCCTCTCTAGTTTCTTAATTTATTTATTCAGATGTTTTCTATATCTCTTAGTAGACTGATTTTCAGACAAGTCTTATCATTTTGGGGTTCATTCCTGGTAATTTTGTGGATTTATTGTGTTAGAATGTGGAAATGTTTTTTTCACTTTTTTTTCAAATATTTATTTATTTACTTGAAAGGCAGGGCTACAGAGAGACAGAAAGAGAATTCCTTCATCCACTAGTGCACTACCCAAATGCCCACAATGGCCAGAGCTGGGCCCATCCAAAGCCAGGAGCCAGGAGCCTCCTCTGGGTCTCTCACATGGGTGCAGGGGCCCAAGCACTTAGGCCATCCTCTGTTGCTTTCCCAGGCACATCATCAGGGAACTGGATCTGAAGTGGAGCAACTAGGACTTGAACCAGAGCCTACATGGGATGCTGGCACCACAGGCGGTGGCTCTACCCACCACGCCACAGCCCTGGCTCCTCAATTAAATTTTTATATTATATTTTGCTATTATGTAGGAGAGTTTACCTTACATAAATTCACTTTAACAACTCTTAGGAATTCTAACAGTTAATTTTTTTAACAAAGAATTTTTACTTTATTTTTGTCTGAAAGGGAGACAGAGAGCAGAGACAGAAAGAGATCTTCCCTCTCTGGTTCACACACCAAAAGCCCACAACAGCTGGGGTTGGGCCAGGATGCATCCAGGAGTCCAGAAATCAATCCAAGTCTCCCATGTGAGTGGCACAGACCCACAAACCTAAGTCATCACCTACTGTCTTCTATTGTGCACACTGGGTGGAAGCTGGATTGGAAGCAGAGGCAGGACTTGAACACATGCACTCTAGGACAGAATGTGAAATGTCCCTGGAAGAGAGCAGGTGACAGCTCAAGTACTTACGATCCTCAGCAGAGAGCTAGATTGGAAGAGGAATAGCCGAGACTAGAACTTGCGCCCATATGGGATGCCGGCACTTCAGGCCAGGGCCTTAACCCGCTGCACCACAGCGCCGGCCCCTAATATAACATTTTACTTCCAGTCCAGCTCTCTGCTGTGGCCCAGGTCCTTGGGCCCTGCATCCTCATGGGAGAGCAGGAGGAAGCACCTGGCTCCTGGCTTCGGATAGGCGCAGTGCACCCACAGCAACGCGCCGGACATAGCAGCCACTTGGGGGGTGAACCAACAGCAAAGGAAGACCTTTCTCTCTGTCTCTCTCACTCTCTCTAACTCTGCCTGTCAAGAAAAAAATTTTTTTTTTAATTTTAGTATCTTCAGGTAATAGTTTCTGAAAGCATTCATGGTGACAAACTTTCTGAATTCTTTCATATTTGAAAAATACTAAAATTTGACTTTAAATTTGAATGATAGTTTGGCTGGACACAGAAATTTAGGTTAAAAATAATATTCATTTAAAATTACAAATAAATTGTTGTGTTTTGCTTATTGCAGGGGAGTTTAAATGAGAAGTTTGATAGCAATGAGAATATTGTTTCTTTAAAGTTACTTTGTTTTCGTTATACCCTTTAGGAACTCTTATGAACTTTTGTTTTCTCAGAGATTAGAAATTTCAAATGCTCCCTCCCCCATACACACAATGCAAACACTTTACTGGTTTCACTTACAAGTGACAATATTCCCAAGGGGCGATGGTTTAATATAAACCTGAAGTCATTTGAGAGATCAAACAAGTACGGGGAAGGAACCTGAAAATTAAATGTTTCATCAAAAAGCAGTACAGTGTCATCTAATACCTACTAGCCTGGTGTTAACAGGCCCAGGAAGATTAAGCTACAGCAAAAACACCTGCCTAAACATTAGAGATTACATAGAAGAAAAGTTAGTGTGCTTTCCAGAAAACTATGATACACTGGCCACTTGGGCCCACTGGGATGTTTGGCTGCGAAAATGTCAAGGTGGTTGGAGATAAAGCTTACTTACAAGGAGTAGGTATAACCAAGCATCCGCAGTCTTCCTTGCAAAAGGCAATTTGCTGCACTTTGCCGCCTCCCCTCCTGATCTAGTCACGTGTAATAGTTTCAATGTCCCCCAATCCCTCTCAAATACCTCTACCCAACACCCTCAAAAGACTGAACCCCTGCAGCCTCTGAGCTAGAGTGAAAACTGCAAGATTCACAAAATATCCAAGCAGCCGGAAGGGGTCCACCCGGTCCGGAAAATCCCAGCATTTATCTTCAATCTCTTCCCCCAATTTAAAGATAAACTCTGATCTACCTGATGTGGGCTGTAGAAAAGCCACACTGGAATAAGATGGGTCTTCTGAACTTCTCAACAAGTAGCCAAGAGAGAAAAAAAGGAAAAAAAAAAAAAGAAAGAAAGAAAGAAAGAAATAACAGGCAGGGTGTGTGTTTGTTGCATCTTATTTTAAACTGAAATAACCCCGGGCGTTATTCTGTTATAAAGGAACATGGCTAAACTGGTAGGACACGGACTCCCCATTGTGAGTCCTCCAGATGGCCTCGGCCAGGATCATGATGTTCATCACCTGGATTTTGGGGCAGTGCCTCCTCTTGTCCTCCTGCGGTATGGTGCTGGTGACCACCACTGCTTCAAAGCAGGCGCCGTTGATGCGAGACACGGCCGGGCCGGAAAAGATGCCATGAGTCAGGATGGCGTACACCTTGGTGGCTCCAGACGACAGCAGCTTGTCGGCCGCGTGGCATATGGTCCCACAGGTGTCGGCCATGTCATCCACCAGGACAGCCGCGCGGCTTCTCACGTCGCCCACCAGCACCATGTGGTCCACCTCACTGGCCTTCTTCCGCTCCTTGTGAATCAGGGCGAAGTCCACGTTCAACCGGTCAGTAATGGCCGCCACCCTCTTGGCCCCGCCAGCGTCCGGAGAGACCACGGTGCAGTTCGTCCACTCGGGGATCTTCTCCCAGATCCACCTCAGGACAGCCGTCTCGGCGTACAGATTATCGACGGAGATATCGAAGAAGCCCTGGATCTGAGACGCGTGCAGCTCCATGGTGATGATATGGTCCGCGCCTGCTATCGACAGCATATTGGCCACTAGCTTGGCCGAGATGGGGGCCCGGCTCTGGTCCTTCTTGTCCTGGCGGGCACGGGATGACCGCCGTCATCTGGCTGGCCAAGGCCATCTTGCAGGCGTTCAGCATGATCAGCAGCTCCATCAGGCTGTCGTTGATCTCGTCACAGCCGCTCTGAACGATGTAGATGTCCTCGCCCGCACGCTCTCGCCAAGCTCCACGCACGTCTCCTGGTTGCTGAATTTCTTCGTCACCACCTTGCCCAGCTCTAGGCCTAGGCGGTCGGCAGTCTTCTGGGATAAGTCCCGGTGAGAGCTGCCGCTGAAGATTTTGATATTCCGCATCTCGGCCAACCAGCATAGGGACTCTCGGCCCAGAGACCGCTCAGCACTGCCACAGGGCCGGAAGTCCCGGCCGCAGACTCTAACGGCTTCCGGTTCTTAGCCGTTTTGACCCGGCCATCAGGAGCTCTTCCGGGGCACGGCCCTGAAAGGCCACAACGCATGTGCCTCCCCACCGTTAAGCTAAAGAATCAGGTGTTTCCAGTTCGTGGAGTTTTTCTTGTTTCTAGTAAATACTTGTATTGGTTTCCTTGAACAAATTTGATTACACTGAAGCATAAACCTCTACAAACACTACACAACCTTAACAGGAAAATTAGAGATTGGAGAAACAATTTTTTATTTGGACAGAGTTCTTTCCCTATATGGGGTAGACAAAGAATCTAACAAAAAGAAAATGGTATGAGACAATTTACAGTATATCATATATATATATATATATATACACACACACACATACATCCACTGGCCAATAACACACACATATAGATATGAATAAAACTGTGGGAAAAAAAGTTAGTATTAAAGAAAATGATACTTGCGGCGCCAGCACACCGGGTTCTACTCCCGGTCGGGGCACCGGATTCTGTCCCGGTTGCCCCTCTTCCAGGCCAGCTCTCTGCTGTGGCCAGGGAGTGCAGTGGAGGATGGCCCAGGTGCTTGGGCCCTGCACCCCATGGGAGACCAGGAGAAGCACCTGGCTCCTGGCTCCTGCCATCGGATCAGCGCGGTGCGCCGGCCGCAGAGCGCCAGCCTCCGCGGCCATTGGAGGGTGAACCAACGGCAAAAGGAAGACCTTTCTGTCTCTCTCTCTCACTGTCCACTCTGCCTGTCAAAAAATATAAAAAAATAAATAAAATGATAATAATTTCCCCACATCAGGTAGCCCAAAATTCTGACAGTGTCTCAGAGCATATAGATATGTAGATTTTGCCATGATGATTTTGAAGGTGAACTGACTCATCATGTCTACCTCTAAGAATCTGTTCAGAGAATTTGCACAAGCACCCAAAAAATATGTTGATAATGATGTTGCGTGCTGTATTAATCCATTCAAAAATACTAGTTTATTCAATGAGTGTCTCTTGTATGTAAGGTCTTGTACTACTCTGGTGTAAGAAGGTGAGTGTTGGATTGGCATTGTGGAGTAGCGGGTAAAGCTACTGCTTGCCGTGGGTTCCTGTCCTGGCTGCTCCACTTCTGATCCAGCTTCCTGCTAATGCCCTGAGAAAAGCAGCAGAAGTATTTGGGTCCCTGCCACACATGTGGGAGACCTGGACGAAGCTCATGGCTTCTGGCTTTGGCCTGGTTCAGCTCTGGCCATTGCAGCCCACTGGAGAGTGAACCAGCAGATGGAAGTGCCCCCCCCCCCCCCCCCGTAAATCTGACTTTGAAATAAGCAATTTTTTTAAAGGTGACAAAAAATAGTAACCACCCTAGAACTGTTTATAAAGTCAAATATCCATCAATAAGTAATTTATCAAATAACATAAAATGTTGTACATGAAGTACAGCCATTAAATAGTATGATTTATGTGAAATCAAATGGAGATGGTCCGAAGGCTTTTTTGTTTTTAGATATATCTTTATATTTATTTGAAAGGTGGAGTAACAGAGAAAGAGAGGGAGAGAAAGGGAGGAAGAGACAGAGAAATGAAGGAGATTTTCCATCCATTAATTCAATCCCCGGCTGGGGTTGGGCCAAGCCAAAATCAGGAGCCTGGAACTCCATCTGGGTCTCCCACGTGGGTGCAGGGGTCCAAGCACAGGGGCCACCTTCTGCTGCTTTCCCAGCAGTATTAGCATGAGTGTGGATTGGAAGTGGAACATCTAGGACTTGAACCCGCGCCCGTATGGGATGCAGGCACTGCAGACCTGTAGGAAGTCTACATTTTTTTTTTTTTTTTTTTGACAGGCAGAGTGGACAGTGAGAGAGAGACAGAGAGAAAGGTCTTCCTTTTGCCGTTGGTTCACCCTCCAATGGCCGCCACTGCCGGCACACCACGGCAGGCGCACCGCGCTGATCCGATGGCAGGAGCCAGGTGCTTCTCCTGGTCTCCCATGGAGTGCAGGGCCCAAGCACTTGGGCCATCCCCCACTGCACTCCCTGGCCACAGCAGAGTGCTGGCCTGGAAGAGGGGCAACCGGGACAGAATCCGGTGCCCCGACCGGGACTAGAACCCCGTGTGCCGACGCCACAAGGTGGAGGATTAGCCTAGTGAGCCGCGGCACCGGCCGGAAGTCTACTTTTTAAAAATTATTTTTACTTAAGGGGCCGGCGCTGTGGCGCAGCGTGTTAACGCCCTGGCCTGAAGCGCCAGCATCCCATGTGGGTGTTGCCAGTTCTAGTCCCGGCTGCTCCACTTCCAATCCAGCTCTCTGCTATGTCCTGGGAAGGCAGTGGAAGATGGCCCAAGTCCTTGGGCCCCTGCACCCACACAGGAGACAAGAAGGAAGCTCCCGGCTCCTGGCTCATGGCTTCAGATGGGCGCAGCTCCAGCCATTGCGGCCATCTGGGGAGTGAACCAGCTGATGGAAGACCTCTCTCTCTGTCTCTACCTCTCTCTGTAACTCTGTCTTTCAAATAAATGAGATAAATCTTTAGAAACAATTATTTTTATTTAAAAGGAAGAGTGATAAGGAGAAAGACACACACACACACACACACACACACACATCTTTCACCTTTTGTTTCATTTCTCAAATGGCTTGAACACTTATGGCCTAGCAAGGCTGAAGCCAGGAGCCAGGGACTCCATCTGAGTTTCCCATCTGGGTGGCAGGGAATCAAGACCCAAGTATTCGGGCCATCATCCACTGCCTTCCCAGGTACATAAACAGAAAACTGGATCAGAAGCAGAGTAGCCCAGATTCAAACTGACACTCAGATATGAGATGCTGGTATCCTGCTTAACAGGCTGCACCACGATGCTGGTCCCTGGAAGTCCCTTTTTAATGATTACTTTTGGAGAGGGGAATAGGTTGTTGGGAGTTAGGGATGAGGGACTGGCCTTGCACTTAAGACATTGGCTAAGATGCCCACATTGCATATCTCAGGCCCTAGTCCAATACCTCGCCGTGGGAGGAAGCAGGTAAGGAGGTGGGTTCCTGGCACTCATGTTGGTCACCTCGATGAGTTCCTGGTTCCTAGCTTTGGCCCTAGACCAGTCCTGGCTGTTGCAGGTATTTGGGGGAGTGAACCAGTGAGTAGGAACTAACTCTTTCTTTCTCTCTCAAACATATGTACATCAAAATGTCTAGTTGTTGATCCAATCACATCCCTGTTGACATCAAAGTACTTCTCTCCTCAGTTCAGGCTCTTCATGGTGATAGCATGTGCTGAGCCCTTTCGGTCCAGAACCCTTCATTCATAGTCTTTCCCATCCAAAAATCAATAGGTCACCTAGACCGTGTAGTTCTTTTCATCCTTAGGAATCCTGTGACTTCATTTAGAAGCACCAAAAAGTACTTTGCAACATCAATTAAACTGATTTTTCTTTTTGTGTTCTCAATATGTCACACATTTTTTAGTTTTTAAAGAAAAACACAGGTTTTAAAATATCTTTAATATTACCTAAATAGGACTGAATGCTAATGTAAACATTTAAAACCCAGAGTTGGTTGCATTTTCCTTGAGGTGTTAAGTAGGAGAAATTTTTGTCTTGCTGTTATTTTTGCTCCAAGCACTGGCGGTTGCTATAACTCATAGTTTCAGGGATTTGTCTAGAATCATAAAATGCTACAGATGGAAATGGCCTTAGAGACCATCCAGTGTAGAATCCTAACTCACAGGGAACTGAGGCCCAGAGTAATGAGGCAACTTGCCTGGGCTCTATCAGCTAATTAGAGTGTACATTAGAATGTGGAATTCCTGAATTTCCAAGGAGAGATTTTTTTCCCCATTTATTTCACTTTTAGATTTTTTGGGGGGAGATTTATCAGAACAAAGAAAAAGATGAAAAGTAGTGCAGAAATATTTGCTTCAGTTGTTTTCTCTTTTACCAAGCAACCACAACAAAGAAAGAACCCCAAACAGGAGACTAGACAATTTTTTGGCTTTGGAAAAAAAAAAAAAGGAAAGAAAGAAAGAAAAGGAAACTTGGAGCTGGCATCATGCTATAGCAGGTTAGGCCGCCACTTGGAATAGCTACATCCAAGATCACAGTGCCAGTGTGAGTCCTGGCTACTCCACTTCCAATTCACCTCCCTGCTAATGCACCCTGCCTTCCATGTGGGAGACCAGGATGGAGTTCCTGGCTCTTGATTTGGCCCGACCCCGTCCCTGATGTTGCAACCATTCTGGTAGTGAACCAGAGGATGGGAATTCTCTTTCTCTCTGTCTGTCTCTCTCTCTAGTTCTGCCTTTCAAATAAACAAATAAATAAACAAACAACTCTTACAAAAACACAAATAAAACATTTTCATAAAGACATGAAGTAGTAGTCTTGTAGAAATATCTTTGTAATTTTGAACATTTGGTTACCTGGATCTGTGGCATGGGAGCCAGCTCCTTTGTACTTTCTTCTCTGTAGGTTGACAGAGACATCTGTCTTGTCATCAACTGCTTCTGACAAAAGTCAGAACAACCTATTCCTTCCGTTCAAGACATCATTTCTTAATAAATTACTTTGAAAATGAAAACTGTGATACAGAAAAAAAAATGCCTTACCTTTGTTTCTTCCCAAGGCAAGTACATGTAAATGCTATCTCTACAAAGCAGTTGTATTTTGAAGGTCTTTCGAGTCAGTACCCAGAACGTATATATTTCCTCAATAATAGTTTCTTGCTTTACTGGTTATTCTTTTACCCTTCACAGTTTCTCCATAAATAATTCAAAGAGAGCCCTGATGCACCTTGTTCAGCTAAGGAGAAAAGAAATTCAGTCAGTTCTTTCAAAAAAGTAGAGAAAAAAAATGGTTGTATTTTAAGGGAAGCGAATGCTTTCACTAAACATACTTGTAGTTGACAAAATGCTAGATGTTTAGGTGGCAATTATGACTCTTTGATAAACTGTCAAATCTTGTCACAACACATGTTACAAACAGCGACAGATTTAGATGTCCTTTATGACAGCTTTGTGTAGGTTGGCA